TCTCTGCAGCAACCAGCCTGGCAGCCAAACCACAAACTCCCCAGCCACTGGCCCCAGACAATCAATTTGCTCAATGACTGTCAGCTTCCTTAATTTTTGGCCCCGACTCTCTACCACCACCTCCAACTCAGGACCGACCTGTGAAAGCCACATATGCTCTCCTAACCAATCACAGAGGATGCCTCGCTTCTAGTGCGCCCCTCCAGCTTCCCCTGCCAACAGTCTCCAGTCAGGGCACACCTGAAGGAAGCCTTCCTTCTTTCCACTCTGAAGCATCCCCACCTGCCTGCCTTTGAGCATCTGCCAAAAGCAAGCGATGGAGCCTGACTCCCTGCCTATCCTCTGCCTGGTCTCACTTGGGTGATCTTTGTTTATTTCTGCACCTTAATGTGAATGTATTTGTTGCATCATCTGCTTTAAGAGGCCAAAGGGAAACAATGGGTCTCAGTGTCAGAGAAAACAAAAGTTGGGCGGTGGGGGTTGGGGGAGTCCTGACATCACAGATTGGGCAAGGGCCAGACCTGCCTGTGTCCGCTTAAGAGCAAACCAGCAGGCTGGAATTGAAGATGAGGGAAGGATTCCCACACTCCTCCCTGCCTCTGATCCCCACAACAGCCCTGGGCCTTGCTGCACAATTACATCCAGGAAACTGTACTGCTAGAGTCTTGCTTGCTTTCCCATTCCTGACCTTCACCTAGCAGGTGCCGGAAGCATGAACATGATTTGGTAATCTGGGGGCAAAGTTCAAGTTGGGGAACCTTCTCTCTTTACTCCAGAGATCCTCCTGGCTTTGGAGGCTGGCTCCTCCTTTAATCCTACCCCCAGGAACAGAAGTTAACGATGGAAAAGAAGTCAGGCATCTACAAAGTGTTCAAGGCCTGCTGAGTTTGTCCATGGGCCAGGAATTCAGGCTTGCGGCAGAGGGTGCAGGGAACCATTGTTTACTGAGCCCTGGGTGCCAGGGACTCTGCAAAGCGTCATCTCATTTCATCTTGACAGTAGTCTCTTAGAGGTGAGAGGCTTGGAGAGGCTTGAAAAGGTCACATGGCTGGATGTGCCACAAAGTGGATTTGGACCCACATCTCTCTGGCTCCAAAATCCCTGTTTTCTTCCCTGGACTCTGCCTTCTCAACCAAGAGCCAAGAAGTTTCAAAAGCTAGAGGTGGACCCCAGAACTGAGGTCCAAATTCCTCACACAGTCTTCGTGCCCACAATCCTGGTCTGTCTTTGAGTTTCAGGAAGAGCTTGCAGTAGGAGTATTTTAGTTATGCAGATTTTAAAGTGCACGTGGCCACACAACACGTGCTGATTTTAACATCCTAGGAATGCAGGTGATTCCGATTAAGAAATTCTGCCTTTTGTTCCTACTGTAAATACAATCTAGTTTCCAGCTAAGCTCTGTCCTGGCAAACACGGTGCTATGGGGAGACAGTTTTCATGGATAGTCCTGTTGGGTCCTGGGATGTACTTGCATTTTCAACTCCAACTTACTAGCCCTTTGACCCCTGAGCAAGTATTTATCCCTCATGGCCCTCAGCATAAAATCCTCACTCCTTCCCCTGACCTTGTAAGGTTGACATTGGCTGACTTCTCTGTCACCCTCGGCCGTTTCCTGCTCATTCAGGTCCCCAGGCCATGCTGCCTTATTTATCCCTCCACCTTGCCAAGCTCACCCCAGGGCTTGGGCCTTTGTACTGTGTGTTCCACCTAGACAGCTCTTGGCCCAGAGCTGTGCTCGGCTGACTCTTACTTGCCAGTCAGGTCCTAGGGTAAATGTAACCACCCCAGGAGGCCTCCTGCGCTCACCCCATCCAGAGCAGCCCCTCCCCAAGCCACAGTCCCAGCATGAGGTGTGGCTTTCACTACATGGACAGTATGTGCTTTTGTGTGTCTCTCCACCCCACTCCCTTCCCCCAGAATTACAAGTTCCCCTGAATCCTACCTCCAATCCCCTGCACCTAAACCGTACCTATCACATGATTCGTCTTCCCTAAGAAACAAATGAAGGGATGGATGGCTTCTGGCACACCAATGGCTTCTTCACTATCTGGTTGCAGGGTTGGGAGAGCAGTGAGAAGACCTCAGGCCCCATTGTCCCTCATCCACTGGGACCACCAGAGGGTGGCAGGCATTTCTAAGATCCTGTTGCTAATTCCTCAAACACATCTTACTGTTTCCAGCCCCGACACCTTTGCTCCCACCCTTCTGTTCACCTGGCCTGCCCTCTCCTGATGCCTCTGACAGTTGAAATCTCACTCAGCCTTCAAGGCCCAACTCAGAATCTCCCTCACCTCAGTTGGAAGGCTCTCCTCCCTCCTCTGAGCTCCTGCAGGCTTCTAGCTCTACACAGGGTCCTCTAGACTGAAAGCAACTTGAGGACAGAACATCTGTATTCCTGTTTGGTAACCCCCACCCCCCACCCTACCTCCATACAGAGCAAGGGCTCAGCAGACATTCCAGACTGGATGACCATGGAAGGACTGGCTGACTGGCTGGATGGACGTGCCGGTTGATGGCTCGAGAGGTGACTCACAACAGCCAAGGCCAGGTTCCAGTCCAGACTTTGCCTTTTTCTAGCCGGGACTGGAGGCCAATTCCTTTACCACCCTGGGCCTCCATTTACATGTCTGTAAAATGGAGACAACAGGAGTAAACTCACAGTAACTTAGAGGTTATTGAGGGAAATAAAAGGGTTAGTGCTTTGAAGTGCTTGGTACATCGACTAGCACATAAAAAGTGCTCAATAAATGTCAACGGTATTACACGGACGCAAGTCTGAACCTAGTCTGGGACTTCTCACTTCAGGGCCCAGGGGCTTGGAGGTAAGCCCGAGGAGCCACCACAGAGAGCAGGGAATCAGCAGGAATTCACATCAGGGCCCTCTTTGCCCACATGCATTCATTCACTCATTCATGTGATAAGTTTTCATGGAGCACCTGCTGTGTGTCTGGTACTGGGGCTTCTGCCTGGAAAAAGACAAAGTCCCTGCTTTCATGGAGCCTACATTCTAGTGTAGGGGGTTCCTTGTGTCAGAGAATAAATAGAAAATAAACAAATACATCATTTCAGAGAGTGAAAGCCCTTTAAAGGAGAGGGTTTTGTAATAGTGAGTGACGGGGGCTGCTCAGAGAAGGCTTTTCTGAAGAGGTGGATTTAAGCTGAAACCTGAGGAATGAGAAGGAGGCATGTGGGAGACCATTCTGGGCAGGAAGATGAGCAATTTGAGGAGCAGAGAGAAAGCGGGTGAGGCCGGAGAAGCGTGAACAAGAGGTAGGAGACGAAGCATGGAGACAGAGGGGTCTGCAGGGGTGGAGCCCCCGGGACTCGTGGCTACCCTAAGAGGCTTGGATTTTATTTTAAGTTTGATGGGAAACCTGTGTGGGGTTTTAAGCCAGGTAATGACATGAGGTTATATTTGGAAAAGACCACCCTGGCATTTGGGTGAAGAATAGTCTGGGGAGAGGTAGGGATGGGAGAGAAATGATGGTGGCCTGGACCAGAGTGGAGGCAGTGGAAAGGGACTCCATTGGGAGTATTTTTGGGAAATCGAGTCGACAGGACCTGCAGGTGCATGTGGAAGTGAAGGAAGGAGAGGCAGCAGGAATGGCTCTGAGATAGACTTTGAGCCGAGCCATCTCTTGATAAGTAAGACAGCAAGTAGAGTCAACCAGGAGATGAGCAGGCAGGTTGTGTTCTGGCCGCGTCAGCGCATATGCGGCCAAAAAGAAAATGTTCGGGAGAAGTGTCCAGTGTTAGTTAGATAATACAAGTTTAGAGATTAGAGCTGGGCGTACTGACTGGGGAGTCACCAGCATAGAGCTGCTTTTTAAAGCGGGACACAACAGAAGGTCACCTGGGGGAGAGTGAGGAGAGGAAGAAGGAACCAGGAAAAGTGGTCAAAGGGAGAGGAAAACCAGATGTCACCAAAGCCAGAAGAAAGCAGAGCAGAGGAGGTGACTGGCTGGGACTAATACTGCAGAGTAGTTGAGGAAGGTGAGCACGGACCAGGGGTTTGGTGACATGGACACGGATGGGGCCATGATGAAAGCCCTTTTGGGACGTAGAGGCTTGGAGAGTGGAGCTGTCTAAGGAGAGACAGGCAGTGTAGACAGTCTTTGAGTACTTCCGTTGTGAGACAGAGCAGAGAAAGGAGGCATATGGAGGGAATTGCGGGACTTCAGGAGGGTTTGTTTTTTTAACATGGGAGATATTAGAGCTTGTGTGTACACTGATGGGAGAGATCAGGCAAAGAGGGGAAAGTCAATGATGTAGGAGAGGAGGCGGTAATTGCAAGAGCAAAGTCCTTGAGAGGGACTGGTAGCCAGGGCTCCCGTGGGGGACTGGCCTCCACAGATAGGCTCCGGACAGTTCCTCTGAGCCAGGACAGGGAGGCAGCATCTGTAGGCAGGAGGCAGGGGGCAGGGTTGGGTGCAGCACAGGGAAGACAGTGACTGCTGACACCTCACACTCCCACCAGGAGGCCTGGCTTCTCGTACTGACTCAGGATTTCCTGGGTGACTTTGGGCAAGTTACTAAATCTTTCTGGGCTGTCCTTTCCTGGGGAGTAAAATGGGAATCACACTTCCTGTCTGTCCTCCCTCCTGGGGTTAGCACACTTGGCTCAGCCTGTCTGGAAACTCATCTGATGGGTCCCTAGCACAGAGATGCCATGGGCTTTGGCCTGAGATGAGGGTCATCTCAAAGGTCAGCCAGACCTTGGCACTTACCAGTTGTCAGGGACCCTGGGGGCTGTTCCATTACCTCCCCAGTTCCTTACCCCTTTGGGACACCATGAACAAAAAGGCTGCCTCGAGTTCCCGATTTGTGACAAAAGGAAGAAAATGGCTCAGAGGGCATTTTGGTGGGGAGGGAGGGTGTGGGGTGGGGCCAGGGCCAGGCAGGATTCTGTCTCAGCAGCAAAGGCTTTGTAGCCAGACCACGCCCCCAGCTCTGCCACTTCCTAGCTCAGCCAGAGGGAGATTTACTGCGAAGATTGGACCTCAAGGCCACTTCCCAGACCTACCCTTCCCAAAGTTCGTGTTCATTTTAGATTTATAATTGTGTGCTCTTTTACTTTACCAGGAGGGTCCCCAAAGTGCCTAATATCTGAGCTCCAGAAAACAGGATCGGCCCCAGGATTTGGGGTAAGTGACTTAACCTCACTCTCTCTGTCTGTAAAATGAGAGTCAGATCTGCCTCATGAGATGGGGGAGAGGGTTACAGGGTGCACAGTACAGGGCCTGCAGTGGGGGCTCCAGTGAATAGGAGCTGAAGTTATGACTCCTGCTGCTTGGATGGGGGCTGGCAGGAAGCAATGGCTCTTATTCCTCCCTGCAGGGTGTGCATCTGTGGTGGCCACTGGCAAGGGAGTCTCATTCAATTCCCATCCCTCTTCCTTAGGAGACTTAGCTCTTAGGATCCCAGGTGAATGCCTTTTCTTCCTGTTTGCACTCTTAAATGCACAAACTACCTGAGGCCAGCTTCCTCTTAATCCTCTTCCTCCCAATCCTCTTCCTCCCCATCTAGCAGCTCTCCCAGCTCATGCCCTCCTGAGCCCAATTCAGGGCTGGGTGGACACAGTAGTCAGATCAACTCCATCTGCCAACACCTGTACCTCCTTTACGGAACTGGCTTCCTGCCTCCCAAGGCAGCGAATTCCAAGTGCACCTGAGCAATTTGCATTGGGCTCCTACTACTGGGGGCCAAACAAAAGCCCCCCTCGGAACTTTTAACCCTCAATCTTCAAGAGGACCAAGAGGTGATAGCCTCACTTTCCAGGCTAGGAGAGATGAGTGGGTCATGCTGATCCTAAGGATGCCCAACCCTGGGGCAGACAGTCCTGCCCCTGCTCCCTTGGCACTTCTCCGTGCCCAGAACCCCAAGTCCTTACCTTGGTCGGGATGAGGATGGGCAGAGGTAGCAGGAGAATGGGCAGGAGGAGCACAATCAGGTAGGAGCGATAGGCCCATAGGCCCTGCCAGCAGGTGGCCATGGTGTGGACCCACGGGGGCTGCCAGGTCACCGTCCGGATCCAGGGAACTGAAGGACCAGTGTTGTAGCAGGTAGGCGGCTAGGCAGGCTTATATAAAGCCACTGGAGTGTTAACCATTGACCCACCCTGGTAATCAGAGTGTTTCTGGAGTCCGGGAGGTAAGAGTAAGGAGGAGGGCCCTGCAGGAAGTATAAAGATCAGGAAGACTTTGCAAAGAAAGGGAGGAGGGTGAGCTCAAAGAATAGAAGCTAAAGGTTCCTTTGAGAAATTAAGCCCAGAGTTAACTCCTTCTGTGTGTGGAGGCTGTTAAGGGCTGCGGCTGGAGGAACATGAGAGGGAAGGATGCCTGGGAAGCCCTACGGCTGGCATCCACAGGGCAAAACCCAGAGCGCCCTCCCCGGCCCAGCCCCACCACCATCTAAGAGGCTGGCTTCTCCAGGCACTTTATACAGGGCCCTGGGTGGGGCAGCCTTGCCTCCAGAGACACCCTGCCCTCTGGGGGTTTCCAGTATAGGATTGAGGAAGGCCCGGAGCAAGCCCTTCTCCTTCCAGGTATCCAGGAAACCGACAGAGCCACTGGACCTGACCATCTCTTATTCAATGTGTGCTGCTCATGCACTGACTTAATTTTGAAATAGCCACTTCCTTGTTCTGCTGTAATGTCTCCTTATAATGAGGCTCAAATTAGACAACTTACATTATGTTGAGCATTGATGTGTGGTGGATGTACAATAAAGGTTCCCTTAAGTAGGTTCTTCGTGGCCCCTCACCCTCACCCCAAACTGCCATGGAGGACCGACAAAGTCTATCTCATATTTTGGAAACACATTTAATCTCTTCATTTATCCATCATCCATCCATCTACTTATCCATCCATCCACCAAACAAGTATTTAGCACTGATTATATCTTCAGCCCTGTACTCAGTGCTAAGGATGCAGAGAGATTAAAATGCTGCTGGTAATAGCATTTGTTCAGCGTTTAGTATAAGCTGGTAAGCATACAATTTCACTTACTCTGTACAGCCACACTATGAGTTAGGTTATTTTACAGTTAGTTATTTTACAGGTGGAGAAGCTGAGGCCCCAGGACACAGAGCCAGCCAGAATTCACACATGCTTTAGGAGTGTCCCGGGGAGGTCCAAACCAGTATGGCAGCTCTGTGTGAAAGGAAAACAGTAGGAGTATTGTGCAAAGGCTCCTGGAGAGGGTGACATCTCAAAGAAGACTTGAAGTTTGAGTCTAATTTGGCCCTAAGGCGACAGGAATGATCACAAGCAGAGGCAAGAGTGAGCTAAGGACTGGAGGATGGAGTGTATGGATATATCCACCCAGAGCCTCTATCTCTTGCTCCTCTCCCTGCTGCCCATCCCAAACTGCACACAGGAGACACCTCATCCATATTTCTATTGATTATTTGAATGTGATGATCTGTGTGCCAGATTAAGAAGGCATGGTGTCTCAGGGAGATTGTTTCAGGAAGTAAACACAGATCCAGCCAAGATGGGAAAGAAAGAAGGTTCTGAGCGATTGGAATGTGGGTGTGTGGACAGGACTGAGAGCTGGTGGCCACATTTCCAGGATGTACAACAGCATGGCCTGGGTTGCTGTACCAATGAAAGACTCCTGGAGTCTGTGTGAGAGAGACGCCCCCCACCCCCGATGCCCTCTGCAGGGTGGGCAGAGAGCAGTGGATGGATCCAGGCTGCGGGCTTCCTGGGGCCAGGCTGGGTGGGGAGCTCTCATGAGACAGGACAGACTAGCCACCCCCATTCCCCTATTCAGGCTGTGTATGGCTTCTCCACTCCCAGACAGCCAACCTGCTCAGGGCAAGGTGGGGAAGAGTCAGGAAGCTCAGGGTTATAGAAAAAGGGCTTCAGAGACTCAAGACCATATCCTGATTCTATCTCGCCCTGGAGGAGGACTCTCCCATGGCCTGCAGCTCTGGAGGGGCCACAAGGTGGGCAGGGCTGAGCTTCCCCCAGAGGAACAACATCCACTCTGTGTAATCTGCATCCCAGTTTCTCCAGCTCTCTGTACTGACCCTGCAATAGAGGCTCAGAGCAGTGAAGTTACTTGCCCAGGGTCACACAGCTTGTGAGTAAAGGAGAGAGAATTCAATTCATATCCAAGACCATCTGTGCTCTTTGCCCTGCCCTCCATGCTCTGGGCCCCTTTGGTGCTGGGACAAAATACCGTTTCCAAATTAGATGGCTACTCTTTCACGGAGACCCGCAGCTTCATACCCACAGCCCTTTTCAAAGCTATAGACTCTGGGGACCCTTGCTGACTCTCTTTTGAGGACCAGAGGAGGGGGGCTATCACATCCCCAGCAGCCAGGCCCCCTGGGTGATGAGCTCATCTCAAAGGCAGGAAGTCTCCAGCCATCACGTGTACCACAAGCGCTTTCCCTTTGCCCAGCAGTCACAGGCAGGGCCCTCCTCTACCAGGCTTAGTTCAGTTCTCACTTGCCCCACCTCCTTCTCCTTCAATTAATGCTGCAAATCACTGTTCTTGTTTTCATGGCTCCTAATGGACTATGAACAACTCTTGGCAGGTTCTGTGGCTGTCCTCCTTCGGTCCTTATCAGGGCCCTTTGGGTGAAAGGTGTCAGCACTGTCTCAGGGAGGAGTGCACTGTGACCATTGACCCTCCTTGAGAAGGTCATCTGAGAACAGCTGAGGAAGCCCTGGGGGAGAGGAGATGGTCCCTGGCTCCCAAGGACTGGTTTATCCTCAGAAGCAGGTGGCTAATAAACTGGAGAGAACCAGGGCTGAGATTTTAGGAAGTTCAGACCTGTTCACATGGGCCAGGCAATCAGGCAGAGGCCTCTGAAGCAACCCAGGATTGAGCATCTTGGGCCTAGGGTGGTCCTGGAAAGACAGGGATGGCTGGACACAGCAGGGAGCACCAGGAATGATTTGTAAGACCTGGACTGCCCAGCTCCAAGGAGAGAAGACAGGGTGTGGGGGTGGTCATCAAATCCTTGATTGAAGAAGAGGGCAGGGGTGTTCTTAAGGACAGAGAGGACCATAGGGAGTAAGGCTAGGGAGGCGTACTTAGGCTGTTTTCAAGGAATCCCCCTCCCCAAGAGAAAAAACAGAGCTGGGTGGAAGATGAAGCACTCTTCAGCACTGGAAGTGTCCCTCCCTATTGGCTGGCTTGCCCTGAGATGGTAGGGTGAAGTGGACAGGGTACCACACTGAATAAGAGGCTGAGCATCTTGCTTACCCAGAATCTGACTCCAAGGACCCTGACCACTCCCCTGTCTTCAACCATCTCTCAAATAGGGTCCACGTATTTTGCCTTATACATGTTCACATCACCCCTTGGCACCTTGCAAGGTGCTTAAATGGACCCTACAAGGTCCAGTCCTCGCTTTCCTCCTTTGCCTCAGCTCTCGCCATTCCCACCTTGACTCAACTGTTTTCAGATCCTCAGCTGCATTTTCTAAGATCTCCAGGGAGTTGTCCAGGCTCTTGCTTCTCGCAGGCATATTCTCCCCGCACTCTCTCCCCCACTTTACTGATTATGTCTTGGTAATCTTTCAAGTCTCAGCCTAAGACTAAACTTCCTCCATGACCTCTCATCACGGACTGGAATGGGTCCACTGCTAAGTGCTAGAAGACCCTATCACAGCACATGTCACACTGTGTTTCATTCTCCTGATAACCTGTCTACCTCCCCACCAGAAAAAGTCCATGAAGGCAGGATCTGTCTGTATTACTGTCCATGTGCCTCTCTTGAGCTGATACTCAACAAATATATTTTGAAACAATAGATGGGTAGATAGATGACTAGTTTGGGGGATGGATGGACTGATGGATGGGTAGATGGGTGGGTGGATGGGTTTGCTCATATGATAATTTACAAGTTTCATACCAGAGAGCGAAGCCCTCCCTCCAGCATGTTCTGAAGCTGGTCCCTGGATCTTCAGATAGGACAGATGGAGGTCATGGGTCAGGCAACAAGACAAAGAAGTGAATGGGTTTTCACCACCATCAATATTGTGAAGAGGAAACCAACAGCAAAACAAAAAGGCAACCTATTGAATAGGAGAAGATATTTGCCAATGATATGTCTGATAAGGGGTTAATATCTAAAATACATAAAGAATTCTTACAATTAAAAAAAAACCAATTAAAAAATGTACAGAGGACCTGAATAGGCATTTTTCCAAAAAAGACATACAGATGGTCAACAGGCACATGAAAAGATGCTCAGCATCACTAATCATCAGGGAAATGCAAGTCAAAACCATGGTATCACCTCATACCAGTCAGAATGGCTGCCGTCAAAAAGACAACAAATAACAAGTGTTATTTATAAAGAAGATACAGTATATATATGGAATGGAATATTACCCAGCCATAAAAAACAAAATTTTGCCACTTGTAACAACATGGATGGACCTGGACCTGGAGGGTATTATGCTTAATGAAATAACTTAGACAGAGACAGACAAACACTATATATTTTCACTTATATGTGGAATCTAAAAAAATAAAATAAATGCATGAATATAACAAAAATAGAAATAGACTAACAGACAACAGACTAGTGGTTACAAGTGGGGAGAGAAATGAGGAAAGGGGCACAATAGGGGGAGGCGGGGATTAAGAGGTACAAACTAGGGTGTAGGGTATAGCTCAGTGGTAGAGTGCGTGCTTAGCATGCATGAGGTCCTGGGTTCAATCCCCAGTACCTCCATTAAATGCTAAAAAAAATTAAAAAAAAAGAGGTACAAACACTAGGTAGGAAATAAGTAAAAGGATGTAATGTACAGCACAAGGAATATAGCCAGTATTTTATAATAACTTTATATATCTATAAAAATATTGAATCTTTATGTTGCACACCTGAAACCAATATAATAGTGTAAGTCAACTATACTTCAATAAAACAAACAAAAAAGAAGATTATAAAGAGGAGATAGGGAGTCAGCTGTCCAGAATTGTCCCTGCACATGTGCTCTGGCTGCTGGAGGCTGGGCAGGGATCCAGGGAATGCTCTGATGCTAAAAGAGACCTGAGACACATTTCAATACAGTCATCAAGAACCTCCTCCCTGCATTACAAAGTAGCAAGCCTGTGCCTCTTCTTCCAAATCTCCATGTCCCACTCTTTTTAAAAATTGGGATTAAAAAATAACACATAACAAAATTTACCATCTTAACCATTTTTAACTATACAGTTCAGTATCAAGTCTAATCACATTGTTTTGCCAGCAATCTCCAGAATCTTTTTAGTCTTGCAAAACTGAAACTCTACATCCATGAAACACTAACTCCCTATTCTCCCCTCCCCCAGCCCCTGGCAACCACCACCTACTTTCTGTTTCTATGAGTTTGACTACTAGATACCTCATAAAAGCAGAAGCATACAGTATCTGTCTTTTTGTGACTGGCTTATTTCACTTAGAATAATGTCCTCAAGCCTCATCAGTGTTATAGCATATGTCAGAAGTCTGTTCCTTTTTAAAGCTGATTAGCATTCCATTTTGCATCTGTATCCATTCATTATAGGTGGACATTTGGGTTGCTTTTATTTACCTCGTGCTATTGTGAATAATGCTGCTGTGAACATGGGTGTGCAAATATCTCTCTGAGACCCTGATTTTAATTCTTTTGGATACACACCTGATTGGAGAAATTTCCACATATTGAATTATTGGGAAGCCATTCTGGCTTACACAGGATTTAACTTAAGCTTTATGCCTGTTTCGTAACCTTTAAACATACATTGGACACCTGTTTTAACCATTTAAAAAAGTGGGCATTGTCCAGAAGTAAAGAATGTCTGTTTCAAAGACAGAGATAAGCGCCTCCCTTCCTGGGACACCAATGCTAAT